ACGTCCAAGTTTGGGTCCGTTGGTGTAAGGTTTGGGGTCAGGCACGTGGTTTGGGATTTCTGACGTCTGAAGAGTGTTGAAGCCTCTTCGGTGTCAGAAGCTCAAAGTTGTCGATCAGTCTCCTCTTCCTACGACTCACTGACACTTTCAAAATGCGAAAGCAGTTGCTGTAGATTGAAGACTCTGGCCTCGAGCATGGTCTGGAACTCTTATGTAAACTTTACACAAGGGCCAGGATCTTGAGAGGTCTTGTGCGCGACGAACGGTCTGGTCAGCCTCTCCCCTACGAACACTCATTGGAGGCACTGCGGCCCCAGCAGTCACTAAAATCTGCGGCCACAATCAAGCTTCGACAAGACAGACCCACCTCAACCACAAGGCTATATGCAATCCAAGACCGTCAAAACTGGGAGCCAACCCAGTGCAACGTGCGGCCACCTTGGCACGGCTGGCCATGAGCGCTGCCGCTGCTTCAGCACCCTGCAAGTTCCTGGCATTTCACCGCTTAAATCTCAAGGCTGAGCCGCTGAGGAGTTAGATTATCATGACGAGCCTGCAGACCTGAAAGTATCCACTGGTTTTCGGTCTGTCTTCTCTGTTTTGGTGCTACACGGGTCATGTAGTGACACAGCTCTGCAACCCATCGTAGTCGTAGTTTTCATTGAAAGGCTGCTGCGATCCTCAGCCCCTGCCCTTGTCTCATATGCCTCATCAACACAATCTTACCATGGGAACACTGCCGGCCACACCCTTGCGACGCCACGGGTGCAGGCGTCTCTGGAGCTGCTTCTGGCGCAGGCGTCTCTGGAGCCGCTTCCGGGACAGGCGTCTCTGGAGCCCTTCCTGCCAGGAAATGTGCCAAGTGCTTCTTCCAAAGAGTTGCTACTCGGTCGTGCGCGCTCTCCTCCAGCTTGTTGGATGTCCGTGTCTAGGAACAGAAGGCACAAGAATCCAGAAAATGTGTCAATACGACACAGCGAGCAACTAGAAACCAGTCCAGGCGACAAAGATCACAGACTCAGACATCTTCCGTTCCCAGCTTCCGGGCAAATGGTCTTCCCTGTGGGAGCGAGTGACGTCCCACTCCGACTGGCGGCTGGCGCAGTCGCAACTGCGTGGAGCTGAAGGAAACCCTGTGCTCTTCTGAGATCCTACTTCTGTTCGCACGTCACCAGCTCCACCGTCGGCTCCATTTTCCGTAGTCTGTGTTCAGTCAACACGGTAGCCAGCTTGAGCATGTTGTTGAACATGTGCTGTGTGACATTCCAGATGCAGTGCGCCTGCAAGTTGGCGCATGGCTCTTTCATCACCCAACCGCCACACAAACTCAGGAAGCGAGCTCGAGTCCTTCCCTCCTTCCCCGCATCTTTCTCACACCGCACAGCTTTATGACCAGTGACGTTTCTCTGCAGTCCTGGAGGTGCTGGAGGTGCTGGCGGCTTCTTGCCTGTGGATAGCCCCAGCTCGCTCATCATCCTCTCCTATGCAGAGCTGAGAGCTCAGATCGGCCGCCTACGGCATCGCGAAAGCTGAGAAGCCGACGTACTCCGCGTCTAGCTCACGCTTCTTTTCCGCTTCTTCCTTCCAATCCACATTCTCCTGCACCCGTGCCCTGAAGGCACAACGACGCTGAGAGTCGAAGTCAAGAACCGATTCTCCAGAAGCGAGTTGCATGCATGATTTCCTCGCAGCGACACTGAACTGTACACTCATGCCACCCCGCATTTCTGCATGCGCAGATAGAGCGCATTGCAAGGACGTTGCACTGCTGACAGAGCCATCTCAGATGGCACGTGCCAGCACTCAGCCAAGAGCCAACATCGGCTTGAGGTGCTTGGCAGGTGTCCAACCTTCGATACCGTTCTCTTTTCGAATTAGCACGAAGTCGCCAGCTTCTCCTGCGGAGCGGTCAAAGTGGGCAAAGAGTGCAAAGGGGCTAAGGCTGCTAAGGCAAAGCCGGAAGCGGGCCTTCGCTGGCCTGGGGGCTGCTCAAGAGCTCGACCACCTGAGCACTGGCAAGAAACACCCCCAAAGCGGGAGCGAGCACACGCGATCAGCGGCCGCCTCTCCTGTGGCCACGGAGCCCTTCTCGACCCAAAGACCCGCGACGCCCGGGGTCTGCCAGAGGCACACGGTGCCTGGCAATGGTAAGGGCAATCAATTTCTGCTCTCCTCCTCTACGTTTCAAGGGCTTTCCAAGGCCGGTGCCGGGCAGCTCCAGTCGAGCCCGGCCCTTCGATGGCGTGGTGGGAGAGGCATCTGACTCCCCGATCCTCTGAAACGGAAGGACTGAACACAACGGAACCGATTCACCAAGCCTTGCACTGTTCATACTGTTCGACTCGTCCTCAGTTTGGCAATTGCTGTCTCCAGCTGGGTCGGCAGCTCAACTGCATGATCCTGATGCAGGAGACAAGCAGCACACTGGACACCTGAAGCCTGCCAAAGCGGGCCGTTCGCGGCCTCGATGTTCCAAAGACTGATCTTCTTGGAGACATGGTCGTACTGCAAGTAGTGCGTGCTGCAGTACTTTCCAGTTGGTGGCTTGTGGAGGTGCGACAAGACCTCCCAGATACCCTCTCTGTGAGAGACCATGACGACTGCCTCCCCGGAAGGATGCGCACTTGTGAGTTCTTTCACGGTCTCCACAAATCCGTCAGGGCTCCGATTCCTTTGACCGACCTGCTCAACATCTCCGACTGGCGGCCAGCAGGACACCGGAACTCCTTTCATGGTTCCTTCGTCCGCCGGGCGTGCGAAGTAGCGCGAGGAGACGCCGACCATTTTCGCCGCAGCACAGCAATTCAGACCATAGGCTGGGGAAACTCCCGGTGCACTGAGCTCCTTGGCAATCGCTGCTGCCGTGGCCATGGTTCGCATGGTTGGGCTGCTATAGATGCAGGCCACCGGCGTGGAAGTGCGCTGGAGGTCTTGCAGAATTTGCTTACCGGCACAGCTCGACTGCTTCCAGCCTGAGACAAGTTTCAATTCGCAACCCGACAGTCAAGAATTCAACACGACTCTGGCGCGATGCATGTAGCCCACGCCTGTGGTAGTCAAAGGAGGGTCGTACTGTGTGTCATGTGTCCTCAATCTTCTCCATGCCTCTCGATCAGCCTCATCTAGCCTCTCGCCATGGCGAACGAGGATAACGTAGGTGATCTCCCGCCCCATTTCGGAGCCCTCACCTAAAGCCCTGGCCCTTGACCCCTTGAACCGAAGAAGCTGCAAGCCAAGTGCTCGAAGCCTCCCGCATCCGCATCCCTCCCCAAGACATCGGCCCAGGCCCCTCGGCCCCTCAGCCCCTCCTTCTTGTGCTGCTCGGCCGCTTGCTTGCAATCAGAGGCCACGTGGCCCCGATCACCGCAGATGGTACACTTCACGTTGGCCATCCTGCATTGGGCGGCTTCAGGGATGCCCAGAATCGCCTACTGCCTAGAAGAGCATCCGGTGCTACTCGGGAATCTAAGGGCCGCGCTTGTAGCTGAACGCCTCTGTCTCCGGGCAATCGAAGCCTTCCACCAAGGTTTTGGATAGAAGGCGGACGAAACCATTAGCGGGCTCTAGTAGGTGGGCCATCACTTGCACTGAGTATGCCATTGACAAACATACCACAGGAGCTGAGATGCGTCTGCCAAGACTGCGGCGATATGTCGAAGCAAAGTTTTACGAGCAGGCAGATTTGTTGGAAGGGCGCACTGAGCCAAAGACCTAGATGCCCAAGTGCACCGCACACCCCACACCGATGTTCTGACCTGAAGTAACCGGAGCTGCCCCTTCCAGCATTGTGAGCAGCCTTTTGAGAGTGCGACGCCAAGACTTAGGCTCCCACTTCTTCAACGTGAAGCCATTCACCACCGCCACTTGCTGCATCCCGTGCGTCCTGCAGACTGCAACAGAAGAGCCCAACGGTGCAAAGGCTGTGAAAGCAGCCAAGCCTTGCGTACTCAAACTCCGGGCTCTCCGGGTTCAGAAGCCTTGGTTGGGCTTAGTTCTGGACTCTACACACCGCAACTTCACCTGTGCCGCCACCACCGAGGGCATTGTTGAAACCAAGCACCACATCTGGGGACCTCGCGGCATGATCAGATTCGTTGCTGTCTCAATCTGCTCTTCCGTGTCTCCCTCGATGTGGACCTTGCTTAGATTCAACAGCGCCAACTGTTTCAAGACGCCCATGTTTTGCTGCCACTCTCACCAAGCCTATGGTACTGACAGAAGCTTCCGCTAGTTTGATCATGCATTGCTCAGGCGGCGGACATGTTGGGGCATGTGCAGCTCTTCATCGGTCTGCCATTTGTCCCCGATATCCTGGATTCTATCCGACTGGAGGTCACCAGGAGCCGAAGCACAGGCCATCGGTAAGACAGAATCGCTGAAGCTTCTTGTACGTGTGCACACTCCTTCCCACGAATGAAGATCCGGCACCCGCTGGCTTCCTTCAAAACAGTGTGCCAGATGTCTTGAGATTTGGGCAACCCACAACAGCAGCTCTGCTAGATTCTACTCGCACCTGCAAGCGCTTGTGGTTGACGCCGCGGGCACCGATTATGACGCCTCAACGTGATCTGTCGGCAGATTTTGCAGCAAGTTGCCGAGGTTCAACAAGCTCTTTCACTGTCTCAGGACCGCTACCCATGAAGGAAGCGTTTGGGTACTTCCTCGGCTCTGAAAGCAGGTTTGCAGAAGTTTGCAGTTTGCAAACTGCTCTGAAACTTCACTTTAACTAGGCTCTTGCGGCTGAAGGGACCGGAATATTCTGAAACGCACTTTCAGACTGATCATGGCGCTGCCTCGCCTGCAGCACTGGCCTTCTTGCTGCAGGCGGGCGCGTTGCATCGGAGGACCGTTGGGAAAAGAAGCTACAGAGACGACTTTGGTCTGTATTTCGTTCGGAAGGCCGGGTCACCGGCACATCTCTCGGCCAAGGCCTCCAAGGCCTCCGCGATAGTGAGCTTGCGCAGCATCGCATCCTCTAGGAGCTCGAAGGCCGGTGCCAGCCGACGTCCGTCACCCAAGGTGTGATACACGAGGCGCACTCCCGCCGCATTCGCAGCAAGTGCCTGAATCGCAAACATCACGGGCTCGCTGTTGAAAAAGGCTCCGCAGCCCCAGCTGCCGGTGGAGACTTCCGTCTCGCCGAAGAGCTCATCCTCTTTCACCGCCACGAAGCCTGTGTAGGCCTTTTGGAGCATCAGCTTCAGATGCTCCAACGTGTAGACCTCGAAGCTTGCCTTGATGGCATCGATGGCCACGACGGTAGGAGAGCTTCGCTGGTCTTCTTTTGGATCCAACAAAAGCACCCTCTTCAGGGCATCCTTCGGTGCCCTGCCATACCAGCCGATTTTTGCAAAGCGCGGAGCCCCTCGCATGACCCAAGCCTCGTTGGGCTCCATGGAAAAGGGGCTGGCCAAAGGCTCCATGCTGGGGTCGGGCATCTCGAGTAGGCTGCGTGCACACAAAGCACCAAAGTCGGGGCGCTCAATGAACAGGATCTCTTCCTGAACACATCCGTAGCTCAACCATCCCCCACCCAAGCGTTTGTTGGCAAAGTCCACGATACATGGCTCAGTCGCTTCGTCGAAGACTCCCTGCACCACCAACGGCAGCTGCCGAATATGCCTCTTGCAACGGCCCTTCTCAAAGTCCTCCAAGTCCTTAAGCCGAAACAAAGCCATTGTAATGGGCTTCTCAGCAACGTATGACGCACTGCAGTAATGTTGTCGAACATGCTCCAGGACGCTCTCCTGGATCTCGTTCGTTGTTCTAGTGAAGTAAGCTGCCTTGTGTATTTCGGTTGCACGCTTCCAGTTCTCGGCAGTGGCCCAGGCTTGCAGCCTCTCGTGGGTCTCGGTAAAGGTCGCGATCCTTGCAACGCCTGTGCCGGGCAGTGGCTGATGTGCCTCCTCCCGCTCATCGATCCCTACCCTCTGTCCGATCCCGCCACCAAAGCGATCACCACTGTAGGAGCCGTAGTAGCTCGCCCTCTGGGCATCCTGGCAGCGAACCTCATGACGGGTGTGACGGGATTGCATCATGGTCCAAGGCCTGTCCTGCCGCGACAAGGCAACCGATAACCCAGCGGCAGCCCCACAGCGCGCTACGGAACGGAAGGCCCTCATCTTCCGAAAAAAAACGTCCTACCCTCGGACCTCGGAGCCAGAAGCCGCTCTTCGCCGCGTGGAGTCAAGTCAAAGGCTGAACCGTCTCCCGGATGGCCATTCGCAGGGCAGGTAAGGGCAGGACTCGTAGGGGATGATGATCCTTGGCTTCACGCCGCTTTCTGTCTGAGTTGATGGAGAAAGCAGGGAAAGAGAGAACTCGCGCAGTGCGCAGCCGCTGGCGCAGCCTAGGCTCTTCTTCACAAGGCGTTGCGGCTTCCATCCCTCCGGAGGTACGTAGTTCTCCAGGTTCTTGAGCATGTACCTGTGTAGACTCACCGGAGAGTGTGCGTGCTTCTTTGGCACTTCCGCCCCGAGTTCTGGCCTGATGAGCCGGTTGAATTCAGCCAACATCGCCTCGTTTCAAATCTGATTTTCATGTCCTTTGCCGAAGGAAGAAAGCCCGTGTGCAGCGGGCCTTGCGGATGCGGACTTCTCGGGTGTTCAAGCGGTTGCCCTGACCTGACTCGCTCCCAGCAACTCTGAGCAGGCAAACAGTAGCGGCGCATGGCCCCGAAACCCGCTTTCAACGACTGCCGCCGGGCTACGGTCATAGAGAGGCGGGGGCGACGGGGGCCGGATGTCGGGCTCAACCTCGTCGAGCCCAAGATGATACTCGTGCATGCGGCGTAAGCAGTAAGCTGGGGCCGAGGCATCCTCCAACTGTTGCAACTGGGCCAGCACAGTTGCTTCGAGTTCGGGTCAGCCCTTCGATGGCTCGTGGCAATTCGCAGCAGTTCGCGCCTGGAGCTTGCGGTTCAAGTCCTCCAGCCTCTGCTCTCGCAGGAACTGATCGACCTGACCAAGAGGCAGAGACGCGAAGCAGAAGCGCGCGAAGCCGCAAGAAGCCGCGGGGCCGAGCCCCCCCCCCTGTGGAGGGGGCCCGGGAGGCCTCCACCTCGGAAAGCCCCACCGGAAGCTCTACGTACGGCAGGGGCCGAAACCTGGCGCTTTCGCCGATTGAACTTCGGAAGAGCTCCCCTGCGCTGCATCGTGCCGCATCCCTCAGCCCTCAGCGGCTTATCCTCAGGAAGGCCGAACCTCCGAGGAATCAACGAAAAAGCTCGGCCATCCTTTCATGGAAGCTGCGTGCCTCTTGCCCTTCTTCGGGACACCGCCGACACCTTTTGCCTTGCGCTTGTTGTCGCCTGGCACCGGCGACGGCAATCAAAGTTCCGCAGAAAGAGCCCCTTGCTCCCCTCCCCGGATGGTGGCGGACTGTCGTCGTAGAGCACCAGCGACCGCTCCTGAGTGGACTCTTGACATCCAGCGTGTCGGAGAGAGCGGGCCGAGGCACCAACCGCGGCCCCACGCGCAGCGGCTGCAAGAACAAGGGCCTGCTCGGAAGCCAAGACGGGTTGATTGGGTTTGTGCCGAAAACCATCAGGGACGCCAAGCCTGAGATGCATCTGAAACGACGAGGGAGTCCGCCATCGTATCTGCGCAGCCCTTTGCGCAGCCCTTTGCGCCGACATTCGCGGGCTGCAGGCAGTCACGGCAAAATCGTCTGCATGGGGCGAGGCAGCAAAACCCCAGATGCGTGTGTGGCTTAGTTGGGGGTGTAAGTCGTGTCTCTCCGAAGTTACATGCTGTGCTGCGAGCGGAGCATGCATTGGTGGTCAAGTTGTTGGTGCTTTCTGGGTGGTGTCCTGGAGATTCGAAGGAATCTTGCATCAGCAAACTGGCCGAGTGCAAAGCTTACGATCCTGCTAAGTTTGGTGGGTCTGGCCAGCTGCTGTCGACTTGGAGTGAAACGCTGCAGTCACCGAAGGGAGAAACTTCGCCGGCTTCACCTACACATTTGACATGCGAGGCTAGGCCTGCAACACTGGAACCCGTAAGCACGCCAAACCTGGTCAAGACCTGCTGCTTTTTGTGCCCGGCGCGTGCCAATATGCCTTCGTGCGAGAGCTTGCAAGGGGCTTCTCGAAGTGAGAGCTGCCACGGGGGGATGTCCTCTCGATCTAATACCCTGACGATTGAGATGATGTAATCATCAACGATCTTCTTACCAAGGATACGCGCATCTGGGGTCCAAAATCATCGGAGCTCCAACTCGACACAGGTTGCCCGCGCAGCCCCGCAGTCCGAGCCGGCCCTTCCACAGAAAATTTGCAACTCTTCAAATGCTGACCCGAACTTGTGGAAGTGTCTCATGACAGGAAGATTCTGTGACCACGCCAATCTCGACCCTCTGAAGCTCTGAACCTGTGTGCTCCCTTTCAGGTACGCTGAGCATCTCATAGGGGGACCTTCATGTTCAGGAGGCTCCTTGGATCTCAGTCCCTCTGCCAGCCCCGATGGAGGGAACCGAGCCGAGTGCGTCTTCTCAAGGAAGGCAGGAATGCGGCCTTGGGGAGTCTCGAAGCGCCTTTTAATCCTCTCTTCAAAGCGACTCGAACGGGAGCGAAAGGGCCTTTCATGTAAGGGTCCATGTTGGAGAACAAGGTCAAAGCCTTCTGCAGCTCCTCAGCAAGCGACGCTTAGCCAGATCTGGCGAGGCGAAACACAGGCGGTGACCGGTCGCCTTCTGGTCTTTGGCCAAGTACTTCCGAATGTAGATCACATCAAGCATGCTGAACTGCGAGGCCTCTTGCAGGCAAGGGAACCAGGAAGAGAAAAGCAATCTCTCCCTTTTGAACTCGAAGCAAAGAGTCTTCGCGAAGAGGGCGGCCTTTGGAGGCTTTGGCGGGTTGGTTCCCGGAGGTCCTCGGAGCCGGTGTGACAACATTCAACATGCCCTATACGCAAGCTTCCGCATGCAGCTTCTCTGTCATCCTTCAACTTCGGGCGATGTGATCTGCTAGCCTGGGTTTTGAGGGTCTGACGCTGCTTGAAGAAGGGCTTCTGAGCTGGTCGGCCCGCCTCTAACATGCCAGATGGTGCGAAAGCCGCAAGACAGAGCTTGAAAGTGTGGTTTGATGTCAGCGCCAAGTGCCGGGCTACCTCCGCGGAGCGTGCGACCACAGGTTCGCGACTTGGCACAACGCGTCCACAAACGAAGTCCAGCAACTGCCTTGGTTCGGCTTGCAACCGCCCTTCCCCACGCTGCGAGCTGTCGAGGCAAGCTTCGGAGCTGCAAGTGCAGCAAGAATGAGGAGCGAAAGGAGTCGCGAAGCTCGCACCATCGAGCCTGAACTTATGCGCAGCAACTTGTCCAGTCTTGATGATCCCCAGAAATTGTCACAAAATGTGAGGAACATACCTTTCAGTTGGCAGCACCCTTCAAAAGCGTACAGCCACTCGTCTTGAGCCAGGGTGATGTTGCATGGTTCAACAAGCACAAATACATGCAACGACCTTTAAGCTTTGAGTCTCCACACGGAATAGCTCCCAGACACTCGCAACTGTTGTCGCTGTCAAGCCGCTGTCAAGCCTGCCTGTAAGCCCCAATCCTGCCAAATCTTGCCTCAACAACACCTCATGTATGCAGGCGAGAGTAGACACATCCATGCATGCATGCATATGTACATGATTACTGTACATACTCATACACATGTGCATGCACATGCATGTCCACGTACATGTACAAAAGGCGCTCTCACACACACACACACACAAAGACACACCAAACACACACCCACACACGTATGTATGTGTGTGTGTATATATATATATATGTATATACATGTATAAACACACATACATACATACGTACATACTCGCATACACGCATAATTGATACTTACATATGCATACACATACGACCATAAACATGCACGCGTACACATGCGCGAAAAAACATGCTAAGGCATTGGGATGGTTTGGCATGTAGGTGTGTCTGTCTGTATATGTGCATGTGAGTGCGGGGCGTGCATGTATGCCTGAAGGTATGCCCAGGTAGGTCGGCAGGCCGGCACCCGGGGCAGGTCGGCAGGCATGTACGTCTTCTATATACGGTATGCACGCAGGTATGCATGTAGGCATCAGAGCCCGTACCTACTTACAGAACGCATGCATACGCTTGCGCACGTGTGTGTGTGTGTGTGTGTGTGTGAGTCATTGGTGTTAGCATCCTGCCGGCCGTCTACTAATCAGTCTATCTATGTCTCGGTCTGCCTGGTAAAATGTGAACTCTGCAATACCACCTGGCTTTTTGGAGCCGTTACGAGCTGCTTTCTTCTTCTTCGCTTTCGCTGCTCTCCTGCAGACATTGCTGAACAGGCAAGTAAGGCCGCAGACTACTCCGTCGGTGCATGTGAAAGTGATGTGGGCGACAGCAGCAGCAGGACGAGCAGTACTAGCAGCAGCAGTAGCCGTAGGGGGACAGTGGGAGGAGTAGTGGAAATGGAGTGGTTTTGGTTGTACTAGCAGTAACAGCAAGAGCAGTAGCAGCTGGTAGCAGCTGGTAGCAGCAAGAGAAGTCGTCGCCGCCACCCATGTCACAATCGTCCAGAAGCATGACATTATTGGCCAGGATGATGGTGATGATGATTACGGCGAGCATCATGACAACGGTTCTACACATGATGAAGGTAGATCTACTACAGGCAACATACAGGAACCATACAAGATAAGCAATGCAAAATTGCCATCTCGCCCTGCCTTTTTGGCCTGCTTCGCTTTGCCGGCCGTCTTCTTCCTCGGGTGTTGTCTTAACATGGTCGAAGCAGAATCCGTGAGTCGGGGTGACCTGAATCCCAAAACTGTAAGTCTAAAGCCCTCAAGGAGGCCCGGCACCTGCCTCATGGCTTCCTGAAACTTCTGCTTTATGAGCTCCTGCGCGGATTACTTTAGCGGTAACGGGCCTTCTTCGTTCGATCGGTGACGTTTGGGAGAGACTCGGCAGCCTCGGTCCGCTTCTTCCGCTCCTGGGTTGACTTGTCCTTCGTGCTGTGGTAATCAGGAAAAGACTCCGATTGCAGCGGGGTACAGCTCTGCTCGGCGAGCAGAACTGCTCCCACACAACTAGTGGACTAGCAAGCTGTACCTTGGCCTTCTTGTCTTTCTTGTCGTTCTGCTTCTTGGTTTCCTGAAGCAGCTGCAACTTGCCGGCAGGATGTGCAAACCCTGGACCCGCCCAATGAGAGCAGTCCTTGCCATTCTTGCTGTTCTTCGCCTCGAACACTCTGATGCAAAAGCCGTGTCAATGTTGGGCTTGCTGAAGACAGAAAAACCAGTTGTCCAGGCCTTTTTTCTCGGCTTCGATTCGGAGCTCTCCTGGGGCATGCAGGCGACTCTAGGCATGGCTACTGCCTTTCTGCTGTCCTCTTCTTCTTCCTCGTCCTCCTCCTCAGGTTTGGTCAGTCTAGCTCGGATCCAGCATGACTACACGGAAGGACACGGTCCTCTTCCTCTTCTTCCTCCTCTTCTTCCTCCTCTTCGCTGCTCTCCTTTCGCAAGAGGACACCAGTGAGCTCTCTGAGCCGCCCTGAACAAACCTTATCTGACCCGTGAACGGAAATCAAGCACCTCGCTGCTGCTCTTTGCTTCCCTTGGAGCTGCAATTCATTGAAAATCGCTTCGTGAGCCAGGAGGTTTGGGGTTTGGTTTGACCGTCTGCGTTTCGTCAAGCAGCCCTTATGACAACGTCTCCAGAAAAGAAAGCCACTGCGGACGAGTTTCTCCACCTGGGAGGCTGCCTTCAGCACTGCCTCCGACTCGCAACTGACGGATCTGTTTCAGGCCCTTTGATTCCAAGGGAGTCCCTGTGCCTTCTTGCTAGCTTTCTTTGCTGGTGGCGCTGGTTTGGCAGACCTCCGAAACATGTGCCAGCGGTGCGAGGCCACAAGGGCTTGAACCGTCGCTTGATGCAGACTGCAACAGCTGGGAGGAAAGCTCTTTCCGCTTCTTTTCAGAGGCCGCAAGCTTTGCCTGGGCGAGAGCCGACGAAGGTGCAGGAGACCAAAGAGAGCCTGAAAGGCACATCTAGGCAGCCGCACAGCTTCTGCCTTCTTGGCCTGCTCCTTCTGTCGCTCCTGATTTGAGGACAACTACAAGACTAATTGGAGCCAGGCAGCAGGCAGGCGGCAGCTATCTCCTCTCTTTCCTTCTTCTTCTTTTCCATCTCTGCTTTCAGCTTCTGCTCTCGAAGCTTCCGCTCAGCCTCCATTGACGAGTCGACATCACCAGAGTCACCAGAGGGCTCAAGCACAAGCCAACACGCACACACACACACACAAGCATGCACCCATCACGCAACATGAGAGACAAAGCAGCAAAAGGTGAGCTGGCTCGCTGGTCCTCTTCGGCTTGCTTCTTGGCTTCTTCGGCTAGCCGCTGCTTTTCGGCCAACTCCTTCTCCTCGTCACGGCACGGGCCATGGGGTTTCTTACGACCCTCGGCAGTGGGTGGAGAATTGTCCTTTGCCCTTTTTTTTTTTTTCTTGGCCCTTTTTTTTTTTTTGGCCCTGGGCTCCTGCGTTCTCCGTATTTGCCGCATGCGTAGTAGTAGTAGTAGTAGTAGTAGTAGTAGTAGTAGCAGCAGTAGTCGTAGCAGTGGTAGTAGTAGCAGTGCTAGTAGTAGTAAGGAGTAGTAGTAGTAGTAGTAGTAGTAGTAGTAGTAGTAGTAGTAGTAGTAGTAGTAGTAGTAGTAGTAGTAGTAGTAGTAGTAGTAGTAGTAGTAGTAGTAGTAGTAGTAGTAGTAGTAGTAGTAGTAGTAGTAGTAGTAGTAGTAGTAGTAGTAGTAGTAGTAGTAGTAGTAGTAGTAGTAGTAGTAGTAGTAGTAGTAGTAGTAGTAGTAGTAGTAGTAGTAGTAGTAGTAGTAGTAGTCTGGTAGGAGGTATAGTAGAAGTAGGTGAAGTAGTAGTAGTAGTAGTAGTAGTAGTAGTAGTAGTAGTAGTAGTAGCCTAGTAGGAGGTATAGTAGAAGTAGGTGAAGTAGCAGTAGTAGTAGTAGTAGTAGTCGTAGTCGTAGAAGTAGTCGTAGCAGTGGTAGCAGTAGCAGTGGTAGTAGTAGTAAGTAGTAGTAGTAGTGGTAGTAGTAGTAAGTAGTAGTAGTAAGTAGTAGTAGTAGTAGTAGTAGTAGTAGTAGTAGTAGTAGTAGTAGTAGTAGTAGTAGTAGTAGTAGTAGTAGTAGTAGTAGTAGTAGTAGTAGTAGTAGTAGTAGTAGTAGTAGTAGTAGTAGTAAGTAGTAAGTAGTAAGTAGTAAGTAGTAGTAAGTAGTAGTAGTAGTAGTAGTAGTAGTAGGAGTAGTAGTAGTAGCAGTAGTAGTAGTAGTAGTCGTAGTAGCAGTCGTAGTAGTAGTAGTAGTAGTAGTAGTAGTAGTAGTAGTGTAATAGTAGTAGTAGTAGCAGTAGTAGTAGTAGCAGTAGTAGTAGTAGTAGTCTAGTAGGAGGTATACTAGAAGTAGGTGAAGTAGTAGTAGTAGTAGTAGTAGTAGTAGTAGTAGTAGTAGTAGTAGTAGTAGTAGTGTAGTAGTAGTAGCAGTAGTAGTAGTAGTAGTAGTAGTAGTAGTAGTAGTAGTAGTAGTAGTCTAGTAGGAGGTATAGTAGAAGTAGATGAAGTAGTAGTAGTAGTAGTCGTCGTCGTCGTAGCAGTAGTCGTAGCAGTAATCGTAGCAGTAGTCGTAGCAGTGGTAGTAGTAGCAGTGGTAGTAGTAGCAGTGGTAGTAGTAGCAGTAGTAGTAGTAGTAGTAGTAGTAGTAGTAGTAGTAGTAGTAGTCTGGTAGGAGGTATAGTAGAAGTAGGTGTAGTAGTAGTAGTAGTAGTAGTAGTAGTAGTAGTAGTAGTAGTAGTAGTAGTAGTAGTAGTAGTAGTAGTAGTAGTAGTAGTAGTAGTAGTAGTAGTAGTAGTAGCAGTAGTCGTAGTGGTAGTAGTAGTAGTAGTAGTAGTAGTAGTAGTAGTAGTCGTAGCAGTAGTCGTAGCAGTAGTAGCAGTAGTAGTGGTAGTAGTAGTAGTAGTAGTAGTAGTAGTAGTAGTAGTAGTAGTAGTAGTAGTAGTAGTAGTAGTAGTAGTAGTAGTAGTAGTAGTAGTAGTAGTAGTAGTAGTAGTAGTAGTCGTAGTAGTAGTAGTAGTAGTAGGTAGTAAGTAGTAAGTAGTAAGTAGTAAGTAGTAAGTAGTAGTAGTAGTAGTAAGTAGTAGTAGTAGTAGTAGTAGTAGTAGTAGTAGTAGTAGTAGTAGTAGTAGTAGGAGGTAGTAGGAGGTAGTAGTAGTAGTAGTAGTAGTAGTAGTAGTAGTAGTGGTGTAGCAGGAGGTATTAGTGGGAGTAGGTGCAGTAGCAGCTGTAATAGAAAACACCGAGGCCTCCAAAGGGAAAAAAAAAAAGGGCAAAGAAAAAAACAAAAAAAGGGTCAAGAAAAATAGGGTCCCCCTCGGCAGTTGGCGCCACTTTGGTTACGTATACTGCGGCCTGAGCCTTCTTCAGGTTTGCCGCGATTTCCTGGCAGGGCCGTCGCATAAGCAAGGCACAGGCTGATCAGGACGGCTTTCAGCGCTAGTCCGTTCCTCTAGACCGGAGACCAACACAGCAAACTTCAGCAGGATAGGATTACTGATGGCGTCGGCAGGACATCAGGCATCTCGCTGTACACTACATGGCATTCAGAACCTACTCGTAGCACTTGAAGCACTTGCAAGACTGCAAGATCACTGATGACTATTCTCTGGCAGTGCGGAGCGACTTTGCCAACTCTGGGAGCCGCGGCCGCGGCATCTTCGGCCTCCTCCTTCTTGGCAAGGCCTGAGCTGGAGCCCCCTCGGGCTGGGCTCCCGCAAGCTCAAGCTTCATAGCTTTATAGGCTATATAGTTTACCGGGGGAGTTAACTAAACAGTGTCAGAGTGGCCTTTCAGGTCAGAGGAAGACATCGAAGCTGGCGAAGGCGCTGCCTGAGGTTCCGAGATGTCCGAAGACCTCGCAAAATTGGCCAGGAGCCTCTTCTTTCTCGGCATCGGCCCCTGCTTTCGACTTCTTCGCTGCCTCTTCAGGAAACCAGACTAGCTACAGTACTGTTGAAGAGCACACTGAAGCCACACGAAAGGGTGTTTTGGCCAAGATCGCACCAGCAGCTAGTGGAGGTTACTGACAACAGATCCCTTTCGTGCCTTGACGGCTTTGTCTTTAGCTTCCTCTTTCGGCTTCTTGTCTTTGGCTTTGGTCTTCGCTTTCTCCTTATGATTGGGCTTCGTCCAGTTCAAGGAGATTCAATCGCCGCCCTCCCGACAAGTCCCGGTCCTCTTTCTTCTCTTTGCCTCTCTCTTTGGAGGCTTCCCTTGGCAGCATGATGCAGGATGCATGCGGGGCGATGGGGGGATCTGACCGGCGTCCCGCCTCTTTCGCTTTTCTGGCTTCTCGGAGACCTTAAGGCACCAGTGTCCACTCTGCTGCGCTGCACTCGAGCTGCGGCGTCAGCTAGATGTGGTGCCATAGTCCATGAAAGTATTCTCACCACTCGTTTTTGGCGGCTGTCGCCGCCACTAGCATGACTCGAACATCGTTACCTGCCTACGTTTTGTGAAACTTGTACACTGTGTTGTACGAATGCTTGCGGCCCTTGTGGGCATAACATGAGTACCAATGAGGCCTGAGTCAAGCGACGGCGATATAGCCTTTCTGGAGTCATGCAATGCTGAAGTGCAAGCGATTCTGCTGCTCCGTGGGTCCCAAGGCCCCAGCCGATGATCTGTGCTTGCGATCCGATGACCTTGGCTTCGGAGTTTCTTGTGTCGTACTGTGGGGAATGGTACGGTTGAGGGTTCTGCAACAGCACACCTAATTACTTTCATATGCATTTCTGTGCCAAGAGGTCGGTCATGGTCCGCGCTGCTCGTGCGACCTGGCTCCCTTTAGAACCATTCTGGGAGGCTAACGCGGAACGCCGACGCCCACGACTTCGGCTGCGCCTGGATGCTGGTAGATCTGGGATGAGTCATGCTCAGTGATGCATACCCTCCTTCCCTCCTTCCTCGTATAGAAAATCGAGCAGAAGGCACTTGCCGCACTCAGCGTGTTTCCCGCACATCTGCCGTCCGCTATTTGACAAAGTCCTTTTGGACTCGCTTCATGCTCGGCGGAGTGGGAGCGTTCGGCTTCCCAAGAAAACCTGGCAGTGAAGAGCAGCTTCCCCACTTGCGATCACTGTCATGATGCATGCCTCATGCTTGCACTGTCACAAAAGCTCTCACCCGCCTAGAACCGGTTCGAAGGGGTCATCCCCAGAGCCCCCGAAGTTGAGGGAATCCTCCACCTCAAGGGGGCCAGGACGGCTTAGCACCTCTGTGACTCTGTGAGTGTGGGGGATGCAGCCACCTCGTCAACGGCGCCTGCACAGTTGAGACGTTGCTTCAGGTTGAGGCGACAGTGGACGGATTCGGGCATACTTACGACCCTGCACAGGGCCCTTTACTTCACAACCGACTGTATTGCTACAGCAACATATTAAGATACACTATGCTATGGCTATAAATAAATTAGCAAGTAGCGGGAACTTCCTGCACGATTATCATGCATCGGGGAATCCAGTAAATACATACATAAACGCGATATATAATACTATATTATGAGTTATTCACAAAATGAGGAAGCAGTCCCCACCTGAGGAGGCTTCGACCTCACTCTCCGGGCAGCTCACGGGCTGCAGCCGCCCGCGCCGGAGGAGCGCCTCCCTGAGGGCCTTGTACTTCTCCCCCATTGGAGCGGACCTCACTCCGTCACTGGCATGGCTGGGGGTGGGGTGGGGGAGGTCTGAGCCCTCTGCTTCTTGGAGGTGTCCGGGTCATGAAACTGGTGGTAAAGCTCGGCCTGGTAGAATGGGAACTTGGAGGAGTCGTAGATCCTCGGGCTCGCTCTCTCTATGCTTCGCTCTCTCTCCAAGCTCTGGGAAAATATGCGCCCGAACTTACCCATGCAGCAGCGGCTCCAGACGACATCAGTGCCAGCCTTGGCCGTGGACTGGAGAGTGGTGACTTGCGTGTGTGTGTGTGTGTGTGTGTGTGTATATATATATATATATATATTTATGTATGTGTGTGTGTGTGTGACTGATGACCAGTGTTGGACATCGCACTCCAACCAAACCTGGAAATGTAGACCACAGCTTTTCAACCACACGTGGAGCAAAGTGAGTTTCATGGAAAATCCCAAAAGGCCCTTGTCGGCTTTGTGGGTGCTACCTGAGTGCGGCACAGTGCTTGGATCACTGCCCTTTCCCACCGCCAGCTTCAGGCGACCGCCGCTAGCCTCCAGGATGTCCTGCACCCGGACTGTCGGAAGCCTTTATAGATTAGACTGGGTTCAAACCAGAAGTGCCCGACTCAGGACATTGCTCAACCTCCGAACTTGTGGCAAGGCTTAAAGGCTTGTCTTGTCTCGGGCGCCTTGAAGTAGGGCGACTCCGAACCTCCGGGCAGGCCCAGCATCGACCGATACTCCGGGCCTCGACGTACTCCATCCTCCAGGCGGTCGGGTTCCCACTTCTGCAACTTCCATTCCGTACAAGCCTGGCAGCCTGACCCTCGGAAAGAGACCCCTGAGCCCTAAGCCCGAGGCTTTACATGACACAAAGACTTTCGAGCCACCCTCCTCGCTCTCTCCTTCCTCGCCCTTGCGGTCGCTGTCGCTCTCATTTACGGGCACTGGCACCTGAAGCACGAAGTGGGGGAGGATTGCGAGACAGGGTTCAGGTGCCTTTGATGATGGCCACGAGCTTCGTGAAGCGCCGGACCCTCAAACACGTTGATTCGAAGGAACCCAAGTGGTGATGACAATATCAACCGGCAGTGACACCTGCCCGCAAACCCATGGGCCAAACTTTGAGATTGCGAAGCTCGCGGAGGCCATCGGGAGAGTTAGAGGAGGCAGCTGCTATTTTAGAGGCTTCTGTCGAGGTCATCCAACGTTGCATGACGAGGTACCGAATCCAGGAAGGCCTTCGCGAAGTCGACGACTTTGTCGGGTGGCACGCCTGCAACCTGGACGGCCTCCGCATGCCCCAGGATGGCATAGTCGCGTCGCGGAAACTCCAGGTTATGATAACATACCAGCTGATTGTTGACTGGCTGCCCCCCGGCATAGCCACTAATCGATGTGATCGCCGTACCAGTGCGGCTCAAGAGCTGGGACTCTAATGAAGTGCAGTCACTCTGCACTTGCCAGAAGGAGCCCTGCCCAAAATACATGTCCACAGGTGGTCCACTCACAGCTCCATGCGCAGGTGCCGCAGGACCCTCAGTGACCACCACAGCAGCCAGCAGCCCTGCCAAGGCTTTTCTTCGAGCTGTGTCCTTCACGCTTTGCCGGACTCCGGGCAGAAACGCCCCCCTCGCGCCCCTCTCAGCGGAATCCCCTTGCAAGAGCCAGAGGCAGGAGAGGCCAACGGCAAGCACACTGCATCGAGAAGCCCTGGAAGGCCTTTTGGCCCGGGCAACAGTCATCTTGCAAGATCTGCTAAGGAAAGTTGTTTCCAATTATGAGGGTTATGCAGCCTGTCATGCAGCGAACTTGTTCTGGTGGGGCATCGCTTTCTGGCATTTTTCGGATCATGCTGACGGTCCGAACGGAACCTTGAGAATCCAGGCCGGCGCGCGTCAATTGCAGAATTTTGTAGCACAGACTTGGATTTTCAAGATGCCCAATGCTTTCCACGGGGAGGGTCGCACCGCCCGCGACTTTTGCTGCGTCGGGATGCCCGTCTTTCTCCTCGGCTCTAGAAAACTCTGGAAAACCTGCAGCTCGAATCGGCGTATGGCACGGTAGACTTAGGATGAAGGGGTCGCATTCAAAGATTGAGCACCATGCGGTCCCTGTCGCGATCGCGATCTCGCCTGTCTTTGCTGCGGCTTCCTCAGTGTGGAGCTCAGTTTTTGCAAGATATTGTGCACGAAGCTTGCAGAACGAAGTCTGCGAGAAGCTGTGAGGTGCTGACTGCCTGCACGTCTTCTCCGACTTGTGCTCTTCTTCTGTTTTTTGTCTTCCTTCGCCTCTTTGGCTTCTTTGGCTTTCGTCTCCTTGGCTTCCTTCGGCTCACTTGCTTTGGCCGGGGGGCCTGCAAGAAGACTGCCATCACCATCAAGACTTCAGTGCAGCAGGTTGGAACCACGCCTGGAGCTTCCTTGCTCTCCTCCTGGCGCAAGATTTTCCAAAGATTTCCTAGCTACCAAGCTGCCATCAAGCCAAGTCCCCTTCCAGAAGCAAACCTTGAGAAGCCCTGACACCATCCCATAGTCCTGCTCGTCGCTGGCTTTCGCTCTAGACTCAGCTGCCCTTGGCAAGGCCAGACATGTCGTCACTTCAGCTCATGGCATTTCGCTCGCTGACAAGCGCTCTGGCATGCTTTGGCCTACCAGGCCAAGGCAGGCACTCTTCAGCAGCTTTGGGGGCCTGACGAAAAAGGACACATGCAGGCTCACGCAAGACGGTTTGGCTCAAGCCCAACCTCTGTGGCCGCAGCTATCTCCTGCCAGGAAAGGTAAAATAACAGTTGAAGTTCCACCTGAAATGGCGGAAATGGACCTCTCGCCGACATTCAACTGACTGCCCATGATTCCTCGTGCTCATTACAACAAGGAAGAAAACCCAGAAAAGGCTCCTCCTTCGGGGAAGCGCTGGCTTTTTCTGCTTCGTTGTCAGCGGGAGCTTCCTGTAGCAGCGCATAAATCAATGCACCGCCTTCGTTGAGCCTACTTACTTACAGCTTTGCATCGAGACCTGGGGTTGACGTCTACACCGATCTGTGCCTCTAACTACGTGTCTATCTGTCACTTCGTCGGTCAGCCCGTCTCTATCCGTGCTTGGTGCGAGTTTTCTGTTGTGAATCACGAGGGCTCCAGGGCTCTAGAGTCTTGCTCTCTGTCTCTTGCGCTCCCTGCCGCTGACTGGGCGCGACAACCACGTGCCATGATGGTTTGGTATGGTATGGTATGGTCGGTGTACATGTGTACGTATGTAATGTACGTATGCTTGCACGTCCGTATGTTGGTGCGCGAGCATCTGCATGTTTGCATACGCCCAGTCTGACTGAACGCTTGCACGCACGGAGCTTCCTAGATTGTCCGAGATTTTACATGTGACACCCAGCATTTAGCACCCGACAGGTATACTGCTGCATGTCGCACAGTCTGCCACGTCGAATGAGCTAAAAAACTAATTGCCGGACATCATGCGGACTGCTGAAGGCGGAGGAACCGATGGGCGGATACTTATCGATCACGTGTGTCTGCTGGTGTCACATTTCATGTACAGCTCAGAACACCCCTCCGCTCGGACGCCTCCGGCTTTGACCTGGAACCACCTCGGTTGGTTGCTGGCTGCTGGGGGGCCCAACGACATGGGGTTGATACTATGGAAGCATGGAGCTGCGTTCATCCTTCCGACTGACACGGCAGCTTGGTGTTGTCCTGTAGGGCTTCTCTGAGGCAAGCACCATCTTTCTCGGAGGCTTTGAGGCCTCCAGCTTCCTGCACAGAGAGTAGCTGGCACCTACGTGCTGGGGGCACGGCAGTTTGGAAGTCTTTTCGTGCAGATTGGAAATCTGAAGCGCTGAGCAGGGAGTTCGGAAGTGCCTGGAAACTCCTTCGAGTATCCCCGATCAAATCGGTCCTGGGCTAGTTCGTCTGCTTTCGAGACCAAGTCCAGGAAGTAGATGCGCTCCTAGGCTTAAGTGCTTCCATGAACTGTTCACTCGAAACCTACCAACAGTTACAGAAGATGCTGCCCCGCCCTCTGACAGCAAAAGCCTCACGGTTTCTTGCCACTGCCGCCACGATGTCCGAGTCTCACCCCAAGGCAAGAATTCCACGACCAAGCGGATTTTGGGAAAAATCGCTTGGAATTGTGCGAACACGAAGAGACAAGAGACACACGGGGTGTGGCAGGAGAAGAGCCGCACAGTGCCTGTTGCACTCGAAGACACACCTTGATGGACGAGCCTTTGGAGAACCTTCAGCAAGGCCCTTCTCTCGGAGTGCTGAGACCGGTCGTACGAGGAATAAATCGGCCGCAGGAGATTCGAACCTGAAGGCCAGCGGTGCAAACCGTGCGCGACGATCTCGCCGTTACTACGATAAACAGAGTTTCCGCCTGCTCCGTCTGGCTGAAAAACCAAGTAAGACACCCAGGTGAAAAGTTGACGGGCAGAGGTCTCCTTTGGCAAACCGCCTGGAAAGCCACGCTCAAGAGCAACTGCGACTGTCTGCTTTGCTGAGTGTAGCCACTCTTTGCCCTGGCCATTTGCGACCCCCAGCCGCAGCAGCGCCTCTCTGGCGAAGTGGATCCCAAGGCCATGCTGGGCGGTGAGCCTCGAGCCTAGTTCGGAGGCCACAACTGCGTGCCGCAGCTCCACCATGACGGGTTCAAACACTATTTCACGGAAGGCCTCATTCAAATCCTGCGACATACGACCAGCAGCGTGCAAGGTGTCCAATGCCAGAACTGTGTGTACACCACGAGACACACTGAGCTTGATCGCAACATCCAGGTCTTTGTCCTTCTTCATCTCTGCCAACAGCAACATCGCACGATCCGCAATTGCGCGGTACAGTGGATCTATGTGAGGAAATGCACTGGGGGAGCCGGAAAGTTCCATTGCAGTCACAGCACTGCACAGGCCTGACACTGTCGGCTCACATCCTTGGGATTGAGATTCTTTCAGCAGAAACAAAGCATCCTCCCAGCAACCAGCCTCGCACAGCCCCAGTGCAGCATCATACCCCACAACATCCAACTTCTCCGTCTCCAGCAGCTCCTTGAGGTACTGTAGCCCAAGTGCCCAGGATAGACTCCGTTGAAAGGATGTGATCATCGCAGTGTGGCAATGAAGATCAGGCGTCAACTGCTGTCCAGGCATGCCTTGCAGCAGGGAAAGGGCCCTGTGCCAGTCACCACCCTTTGCGCAGGCCGAGATCGCAGTTGCCACACTTCGCACATCCGGGCCATCAGGATCCGGAATCTGTTCGAACAGCGACAAGACATGCTGCCATTTCCCGGCTCTCTCCAAGGCCTGCATCGTCGTATTAAAGCTGATTAAGTCCGGCTCGACTTGCACCTGTTCCTCCATGGTGCAAAGCACCTGCAATGCTTGAGCCCAGTGCCCCGCCCTCCCGAGCGTGGCAAGGAGTACGTTCTGCGTCACGACGCTCGGCGTCAAGCTCTCCGGCAAAGCCAAAACCCCCAGCGCTGCTTGCCAGCGAGAGCACCGAGTGCAAAGGCTCGCAACGGCACTGAAGCAAGACAGGTGCTCTTGGCCCAAACTCGCATCTGCACAGACCAGCTGCAGCAGTTCTATAGCCTGTTGCCAGTGACTTCCATGGCCGAGATCCAAGACTGCTGCACAGACACGGGCTGGCAGAGGCTGGTCGCCGGAGCCTTCGTCCTGGACCTGCAACTGCTGCCAGATGAAGTTAGGATCAGGGGCGGTGGCCACGCGGCGCTGCAATGGGTCAGCAAGGCATGTAGCAAGGCATACAGGACGGAATGAAGGGGCCGAAGCTTCCTGCAATGAAGAGCATGGGATTCGTCGTCTGACCCTCACACAGGCGCGAGCCATCGGCACAGTTTTGGCACAGCGCAGCGCTCGAGCCCAGGCGCGGATGATGTAACTACGATCCCTGCCTACCCTCTGCCTGCGCTCGGCAAAGCCTTGCATTGGCCCAGGATGCTCTCAGGCATCCACCGAGCGGCCCAGGCTGAAGACACAGGACTGGCACAGCACAGACTCTGACTGAAACCAACTTAGCGAGGTCACCCAGGGAGTGACTTACCCTATCCTTGTCACCTTGTCACTGAGACGGGCCTGCCAAGTCAGCTTCTTGCGACCGTCACCAGGTTGGAACAAAACAGATCCTTGGTCGGTCACAGGCTCTGATTGGTTACAAGACTCCTGATTGCTCCAGCTAGCTCATGGTCAAAAGAGCATGCCGAAGTCCCGCAGGGTGGTGAGAATGAACAAAGACAAGATTCTGATTTCCTGTTTCTCCATCTGGTCTAGCCTTCCGCGCACACACACACACACAGATAGACGCACCATTCTGCTACGGCATGCACGTGGTGTCTACAGCTGTCTGGACATGCACACACCATGTCAAATTTACAAGAATCGGGCAAAACATGACTCTTGCACTCTCGGTCCATCCGAGCTAACCGAGAGCTGGACAGGCCCATGACACGGCTTCGTCGCTCGCCCGACCTTCGGACAGAGCAAACTGGACGTGACTTGCCATGCTGAGATGGGCGGAGAGGCTGAGGGTTGGGCAGCTTCTCGTCGCATTCTGTGCGAAGCTTCACCAGGAGCTTTGGGTGATGCGTCACAGCCTTCCAAGAAACCAGGCAAAATCCGAAGGGATCTGGTGCTTGCGATGAACGGCTGGGACTCCGACTGATTGCACACTTTGTCCGGAAATCGGATGGAGGTGGAAGCCCTGGAACGGAGACGTTCTCGACATACCCCAGGCACACGGGAACACATTGCAGCAGTCCTTGGCATTGTAGACCAAAGCCACGTGCTCTGCATAGACACCCTGCCCTCTTCGTTCAACAACGTGAGAGCCTTTCCGCGGAACAGCACGCTCTGAACACAAGGTGTCGAGAATATCCTAAACCGCAACCCTACCCATTCGTCTTTGCCCTCCAACCCTCTTGGCTCCCCACGCTCGGCATCCATGCCAAAAATCAGTGGCTTCGTCACGGCCATGCCTGACTGTCTGGAGTTTGGGGTATTGGTTGGTTTGGGGTGGGTTGAACCAACTCTCGGCCAAGGATACCCTCCACTGCCAAAGCATACGCTGAAGCTTCGGCTGGCGACTTCTCTTGCACCCCCGCCATCAAACACCCGTAGCCGAATGCCCAGCCTCAAAAAAGCTCGGAATGGCTCAGAGTCGGAGGAGGACACGTCTCTGCCAATCGAATTCACGGTCCAAGTTCCGGGCGGAATGTCTGCTTTTTGTGGGGGAATCTTCCAGAATGGTGTCACCTGCCCGTCAGAAATATCACTGCCTGCTGCAATACGCACAGGGTCAGCAGAACCGATCACCGGGCCGGCATGGAGTTCACGATCTCCTCGAACTCCGCAGGTGGCAGCTCGGGTGCAACACCCTGCACGGCACAGCAGCCACTTCCCCGATTCTAACTTGCCAACACAGCAAGACGCAGAGACACGCAGAGACGCAGCTCGACGTGGGCCTTGGCCTCCTCCTTCTCCCTCTTCTCCCGCGCCCGTGCCTCGGCCTCTGACCGGGCCCTGGCCTGAGCTGAGGCGAAGGCACGAACGTGCGCGAGCGCGCGGTTCCCATGCCCGCATCCGCAGGGTCCTTCTCCCACTCTGCTTTGGCTTCTGCTTCCCGCCTTTTCTTCTCCTCCATTCAAGGAAAGCAAGCAGGGCCACGACATGCCACGACTCTTTCTGTCGCCCTGCCTCCTCCTCCTCTTTCTGGGCCTTCGCTTTGGCTTCCTCCTCTGCCTTGGCCTTGGCAGTTTGGCCGACTGTTGGGGTGTTTTCCGGTGACTCTCTGGGGCTCTGGCGGCCGCAGCTAAGGCCACGCCACTCATCATCGGCAGGCCCCACGATGGCTGAAAACCCATCCTTGACCAAGAAATGGAACTACATGCCCAGTCATGTTCCGTGCGACTCTCTGTCACCCGTCCTTATGAAACGCTCACCACTCACAGAGTTTGGATTCTGGACACTGTCCCACTCCCAAAGCCCTCCAAGCCAAGCCCACCACATGGGCATCTGCCCCATCATCGGGGTGCCTCAGTCGAAAGGCGCTTAGACCAGCCCGTTCCGTCCCTCCGGGACGGGGCAGGCACCCATCTGTACAATTGCAGGCGGACCAGGGAGCGGCCCAGGTTGCACCTTCGCCCAGTCAAGAGGGACCCCAAAAGGGCCCTTTTGGCCCTGCAGGCCCTCCTCCCACCTGCAAGCCCGGTGCGGCCGCTGCGGCAGCCGGCCTTGCGCGCGCGCGTGCGCGTTTCCAAACTTTGCTGGGGTCTCCTGCCCCCTCGCTGACTCAGGACCAGGCCCTGTCGGCACAGCTTTCTGCATTGGCCTCAACATTGTCGCTTCGACGGGCGCCGGCTGTTCACAGCTTTGCCTCAACACGAACGCATCCAGGCTCCCGGCGGCACCACCTGCGCCGTCGGCGAGGTAGCCGGGCTCGCCTTCTTCGGGATGGCACTCCCGAGGCTGGGCGCAGATGCCTCAGCTTGCGACATGCAAAGAAAATGCGCGCCATGCTTTTCTGCTTTTCCTCAGTGCGCCGCCTTTGTGGAGGCAGTTTCGGCAAGCTTCGCCTCTGCCTGAGCAGTCGGAAGCAATCGCCGTGGGCCACTCTAGAGCTATAAGGAGTCGTGGAAGTAAAAGTGCTTGAAGCTCTTTCCAGCTGCACCTTCTTCGCCTCATCCTCCTCTGCATCCTCGTCTCCGCCGCTCATCTCGACGACCTGCGAAGTGTCAGAAACTGCAAAGCACCACCCTTAACGGCCCGGTGCTGTCGGGCCGGGCCTTGGGCGTGCCGCCCTCGCCCTCGGATGAGAAAACCGCCCGCAGCTCCTCCTTGGAAAACAGCGCCGTGGGCATGGCACAATGGGTTTTTTCAATTTGAACAGCCGAGGCCCTGGCAGCCTGGGGCCCGGTCGCCATGCGCGCAGAGAGCGAGTCCCACCTCAGCTTCGCTGATCAGTGTTCGACTTCCGGCATCATGAGTGACTTCTTGTGTCTTCTCGTTGCCGTGAGACTTGCGTTGCTATCTTTCTCGAAGAGAGTCGAGGAGGCGGGTGCCCGGCGGGAAGGCCCGGATTGCTCCGCAGCTTTCTTAAAACAGCTCCTGCAAAGGCTGCGGCTGCGCTGCATCTGGACGAACTTTCTTCAGAACCTGTGAGGCTGCAACAGGTTGTAACATTTGCAGGATCCTACAAGCAAGTCGAGTTGCCTCCAGTGCCAAATCGAAGAGCGACTTGTCGATCACCTCGTTCAGCAACCTCTCGGAAGGAGCATGTCAAATTAAAGCCTGCTTTGATGCAGAAGTCGTGCCTGTCAAGTGCTTCGACTGTCTGCCGTTGGTGGTGGCGGTAGATTTTCCGCGCAGTCTCGGTAATGTCAGCAGCTTGCTGAGGTCTTAAACCCAAATTGCGAGGCTCTGGGTATCTGGCCACCGCGTCGACTCCTCTGGGCGGCTTCCTCCAAGGTCGGCGCTGGCTCACAGCTACATTCAGTTGTGGTCCACAGGCTCCGAGTCTGAGGACATAGCTCCGCCAAGTCGGCCGAGGGCTGTCGCGATTGCTGCGTCCATCGACTCGGCCCCCAATCATGGTCATGCCAGCAACAAAGCATCGTCTCCGCTCTAACCACTCCTGGTTTGAACGGTCTCTTCTGACCCGGGCTCCATGCAGGACACAACTTTCGAGCAGCTCTGGCGGCAGGTCCTGTCGGGATGGCACGGATGCACCGATTTCTTGTGTGCAGGTTTTGTGGTAGGGCACCTATACCTCAAAACACCCCTTTTGTTCGAGTCGGTGAAAGTAAGAGTAAATCCTCAAGGAAAAACAATACAACCTCCAGACATTGTGACCAAGAAATGCTGAGCACTGCCGAACTTTCTTCAACATGGAGGGCGATTTGACGGAATGCACTGCCAGGCGGTATGTAGGATTTTGGATTTTCCAGACTTCGCAGTTAACTGAATTGGCTGCGAGAAAACTATCTAGATGAACTTGGGCTTGGATATACTTTCTATGGCGCAGGGCATGGAGGCTTCGGGTCTAGTTCGCCTTGCTTGCATGTCTGTGCAAGGTTCAATGTTAAAAGCTGTGGGGTTCTTGCCCTGTCTGAACCCGCTTCCGGACTCTAGATGCACTACATTACACTCGGTGGAATTTCTACGCGTACATGAACTGCATGGCTCGCTCCTACACAAGATACCAGCACATGCAGCTTGAGTGTCACGGCCACAATATGCCACAATTCTCTACGTGTCATGTTGGTGACACGCAGCACGCCTGCAGATCATCTTCATCCACCTGCAAAGGCTTTCTGCTGGAGTCCCGAGAAGATTCGAAACCAGAACACAACTTCCACACTGCCAAATTTTAGGAAAGCTTCCATGAGAAGAGGTGCTGCGACGAAACCAAGGTCCCAAGCCCCAAGCCGGATCATCTTTCCAGTCCTCCGTTGTGTGAGCAGACGTGCTTCTGGCAACTCGGTAACTCGAAACCCGAACTCTTAAGAGGTGGCAGAGACGACTGTTCCTGCAGACCCAACATACCGTCCTCTTTCACTGGCACCTCAATGTCGTCCTCCGGTCGTAGAACGAAGGGCCGGGGAGCCTGCAGATAGAAACACGCAGACCGAAGCAGCTCAGGAACCTCCTGTTCCAATTGCCTGTAACATGACTATCAGCACTGGGAAGGGGACCCAAGATGCAAATGGGGGTTTCCGAAAACTTAGCATGATCCATATTCTAGGGACCCAAACAAAGGTACCCCTAATTCTCGGAAACTTTCAAATAAATATCTCCAAATCTCCACGGCCTCAAGCCTTCAGGACCCCAGCTCTCGACGCCGGCCTTAAAGCCACCATTTGGTGGAGCCACAGCGGCCTGCCGAGAATTCGGCCACTTTCGGATCAGGCTCTGACTAAAACTTCAAACTTCCAACCCATGCTTTTGAGCTCGCGATGAAGAAAACGACTCTCGAGCTACAATCTACCTGAAGAGGAGTCAAGGGCTGGGCATGTGGCGCAAGAAGTGTTTGGAGCAACAGCCACTGCGGCACCAAGATCAACCGAAAATGTTGCCCTTCGCCTGTTGGAAAGAGTTGGGCGCCGGCCTCAGGGGTCAACAGAAGCAATGAAAAATTCGACCCAAGAAGCCACATCTCTCTTCCTCTCCATGCTCGGGAAGTCTACTGCGATGCACTGCGCCTTGCACATCGTCAGCACTCTCGCTGCCATCACCATTTCCGATGCGATATTATGCGTCAATGTTCGTTGCTCTGCAGTGCTGCCCTGGTCATGATGACCATCACCATCCAACACCATCGACGTTCCCACGAAAAGGGTGTGCTTTCCATCAAGTCGATTAAGCAGGCTCTGGGAAGCTCACATCTGCCCAGCATATGATCCAGGAACTTGCGAAAATCCTGTCGGGGCGAGCAGGCGGAGCTGGGCGCGCACGGACGCCAGATGCCGGAAGGTTTAATCACAGTGCTTGCAATCCGGAAAGTGTCCAAGGCAGCGTGGAGCCTGTCCTGGAACCGGTCGCACGAAGGCAGGGGCCGCTTGCGGAAAGCCTGGCCTGGAACTTGACTTGACAAATCATCGATCCGCACGTCGGGGGATGCTGTTCGTCATTCTCACGTGCTGTGCGGATTCATGTGGACTTACCATGCTGGTTTTGTTGCCGGGCGCCTAAGGTAGCTTTATGAAAAGCGACTGGTATTTGTCACATCTGTTTGCATTCTGCTTTTGAAGGCCGGTCCATCCACCCGAAAGTCATTAACTCCGAGAGAAGCCCAAGCCCATCAACACACCATGAAAACCGTCGCTGTGCAAGGCCCACAGGCGAAGCCAGAACCTCAGCAGCCTGCACTTCGCGATACCAAAGGGCACATGGCTTACTCGGGAAGTTGCTGTTCGTGGCTACAGTCAGAGAAAGCAAATAAGACAATCTGTATACGCCCAAGACCGCTGCCGAAAGCCCGCAGCTCCTGGGTGCAGTCGGACATCGAACACCGTTTACAGCCACAGCTTTTCTTCTGCAATAGTTGGCCTCAAAGCCCTGGGCCCTGCCAGTTGGGTTTCCTTTCTACGAGGACGTCCTCCGCCAGGCAGCGTCCCAGCAACCCCGGCGAACGGGACCGGAGCTCCTGGGGATAGTGAGAGGGCAGGTCACAGTCCGTGTGAAATGAGCAAGGATGTGCGACTAAAGCAATGCTGATGATGAGGAGGAGGTGGAGGAGGATGGTGACGATGATAATAAGGATAAAAATTGTCCTGATGCTGACGAGGCTGGTGACGACAATCTGGTAATGAGAAGGAGGAAAGAAGGACAACGAGAATGATGGTGATGGTGATGGCGAGGATGACGGTGATGACTTGAGCTCAGGGGAACACTAGATTCCAACAGTGATGACATTTACCACATGTTCCAGAATAGCAGTGGAAACATTAAAAGCATTGCTACTCCTGCTAGTACACGTCTCACTCCTGATCTTACCGCTTCTTCAACCAATGACCACGACGACGAGGAACTATAGCGAACTGGCTGCGCCATTCTTCCCAGCACTCCTAGCTGAGGTCGACCCAGAGGAAGGCCTGCTTGCCTCGACCAGTTACTTGACAAGCTCTACTGCCAGCTCTGCTACCACTGACTTTAAGCAATCCAGCCTGTACCGACAAGCATAATATTTGTAGCAAGTTCAACAACGTGCAAGCAGTAGTAGTAGAAGTAGTAGTAGAGATAGAAGCAGGAACAGAAGTAGAAGCAGCTGGAGCAGGAGCAGTAGTAGTAGCAGCAGCAGTAGCAGTAGCAGTAGCAGCAGCAGCAGCAGGAGCAGGAGCAGGAGCAGTAGTAGAGGGGGAGCAGCAGCAGCAATAGCAGAAGTAGAAGCAGAAGGAAAAGTAGCAGTGGTACTAGTAGCTACTGCTGCTGTTGTTGGAGCAGTCACAAGAGAATGTCTTCGTCGCCATCGTCATGCTAAGCGCAGCTGGAAATGCAGTCGTGTACACTGCCGTGCTGCTAGGCTGCTAGGTCGCCATCACTCTCTCTTGAGCATTTCGTGTCTTACGTTACTGATGCGAATGAGCCCTTGCAGTCTGAGGCCGCGGCAGGGGTGGACCTGCTTGCAGATGCACCAACCACAACTGAAACTGCAAGAACTCCGCAGGTGGCAGTGCTAGCAACCAGGGTGACAAGAAAAATAAAAGTTGTATTTTCGGTAAGGCTGCCGTCGTAGTCAGAGCAGGACTGATAGTAATGCAATACGACTTACTTGTAGCAGTCACAGCAACAAACATAACATTTGCAACAGCACCAGCAGCAAGTGGCAGAGGCATTAAGAGCAACACTCGTCGTCATGAGATTTTGCAACGGGATGCGTGGGCTACTTCCGCATTGACAGCACAGCCACATGAAAATTAGGATTGCGCAAATTTTGTTTTCCAGTGCTACATCTGCCGGACCAGATGACAGGTCTGCAGACTCCACCTTTGTACTATCTATGCAAGCACAGCCACAGCGGCTGCAAAGCGGTCGGAGACTGCGTTCACTCGCGGAAGGCCACTCAGCTGCGGGGCAGCAAGGCTCCTGCTGGAAGGGCTCAGGAAACAGCCTCCCCCACCCCAGAACAGTCTATGCACCTTGAAACCTTCACCATCCGCTGCTTCACCAGCTGCCGCTCCGATGATCGCCGACCCTCAGGACGATCGCTGTAGGCGGTTCTGGCTTCAGGTATCTGCATGATCCGCTTTGTGCCCCATTTCTCAGCAGATTCAGTTTCCTTAATGGGGTCGCTAAAGCAGGGAGGGCCAGATAGTCTGTGGCGGCTGTCGCCTACTCAGCCTTGCAGGCCCACGAATGCTCA